TCTCTCTCTCTCTCTCTCTCTCTCTCTCTCTCTCTCTCTCTCTCTCTCTCTCTCTCTCTCTCTCTCCCCTGACACACACACATACACACATACACGAACACGAACACGAACACGTAATTGATAATGCAATGACTTCATATTTTAACAACAAGCAATCCCATTGTGGTGTGAACCAGGGACATTGTTACACGTCCAAGGCGAATGCCGATGTAAATACGGGTGGACTATTCAATTAGCAACGGATGCTATCACCGAGTCGGAAGAAGATGCATTGATAAGTTCAACAATTACAAAACACTGTCAAGCACCAAGAATCGAACGACGCGAGAGGAGTTAAGATTCACGGTCCACGATATGAGTATCCTAATGAGTGACACACGATGGTTAAACGATGACATTATAAACTTCTACAACAATATGATAAAGGTTGACAACATGTATAGGACTTCCCATCGACAGTGTGATACGCAATCTAACATGTCCGCGAAGTACGCAAAGGGTTTGATTCCACGAACAACTGTATGTAACTCTTTCTTTTTGGTCAAGCTCATGGATGACAACTTCGGATATCACTATGACAAAGTAGCTAAATGGTTCAAAGACGTATTGATCGCAGATACAGACTTGATTTTAGCCCCATACCATAACATTCATGAAAAGCATTGGACACTTGTTGCAGTTGACCTTCGACGAAAAGTTATAGAGTACTACGATTCGATGAAACCAAACTCTGACGTTGCAAAAAAAATAGTCAATAACTTCGCAAGGTACGTGTACGATCGATCAACAGAACAAGGAAAGCAAGTCAACACTAGACATTTCAAGAAGGTATTAGAGGTGGTTGGTATCCCAAAACAGAAAGACATTCATCAGTGTGGAGTATTTGTGCTAGCATACGCATCTCTTTTGGCAAGAGGTCGTTTGCCACCATTCAAATTTGATATGCACGATATCCAACGCATTAGACGACGGATCGCACTAGACTCATTAACAACTAGAGAGGATGCGTAACATGTGACAAATTGCAGAGGAGATTGAAGCGGTTGAAAGGTGACAGTCATTGAATTGTTCGGTTGCAAGTCACTTATGGCAGTTTGCAAACGTAAAATGTTATGTACAATATGAAATGCTTTAACCGACAGATCGCAAATACAGCGACGGAAACATTAAACTTTTACGTAGTCAGACAACATGTAGAGGTTAATGTGAGGTCTGCATATGTATGGTCTATGTGAGGTCTGGATATGTATAGTCTATGTGGAGAGCAGAATGTATCATATACGATAAGCATATGTATGGTGTATGCGGTATGATGTGCATATGTATGGTGTATGCGGTATGATGTGCATATGTATGGTGTATGCGGTATGATGTGCATATGTATGGTGTATCCAGCATGATGTACCCCTAATGGTGTATGGTACATGATAGTTCACCTACCATATATGGTCCATGTGGTACCATACGACTACAACCTACCTACCATGGTGTACATATAAAGCCAGAAGTCACGATTTTGGAGAAAAATTCTGTACATTTCTCACTTGATTCAATTTCACGATTTTAGAAAAAAATGTCAGTTTTAACGAAATGTCAGTTGAATACACTTAGAGAGAGAGAGAGAGAGAAACAGAAGGGGAAACGGGCTGTCGGTGAAAGAGTAGAAGGCGACAAAGCGTCACACACTTTGGTGAATCTGAAGATTGACAACAGTTAGGAGCATCTGGAATGCACAGTGCAGCCTTTTCACCCAGCCTTTCTTTTCTTGGGGGGAAATCCTGTGACTGAATTAACAGAAATGGGAATGAGGCCGGGGATCTCACAATTCTACCTAGACTGCGCCATTACCCAACTTCGGCTAATGCCTGAAACTGGGTCCAGTGTCCTGTTCAGTGGCTTACGGAAATTATCATGAAAAATTATCATGAAGACTAAAGAAGATTGTAACTATGACAACAAACACTTAGTCTACAAAAAGTTTAACTAGGATCTCATGAATACCTTTTCACCCACCATAAACCGACTATCTTCTTCCCTCGAACATAACACACCCTCATTTTGGCTGCACAGGGCTGGAAAGACACAAGGCCGGAAAGATGGCTTGTATACATTCATTATCAGGGTGCGTTGTCTTTGGGGGAAGATGGTAGGAACACTATGTGTAGTTCCTCAATATGTGCTACACTAGGCAAAGCAACGCAAAAAGAGAAAAGAGGTGGTTCATCAGTGACTGTTAGATCTGCCTCTGCATGACAGAGAAGGCAAAAAGACAAGAACAACAAAAAGAGAAGAGCAATAGTCTAAGAAGGCTGTTAGATCTTCATAGGGACATCCGTTAAAATTGGAACGATACAGAGAAGTTTATGCACAAAATTTGAGGGTGAACGATATACAGAAAACCAAGTTGCGAAAATCACAGAGATGTCCAAGTAGTCGTGTCCAAGCAGAGAGTACAAATGCACCGAGAAACCATCCATATAGAGCAATACAATGAAGTAATGAGCCAACGTTCAAACCCGTAGGCCACACCAGCAAAGTATCCTAAGTCACTCCTCTCTGTCTGGCGCCCAACGCCTAGCCTACACTACTCGACTATCCTACCTACAACAGCTGCTGTGTTCACACAACAGGCTCACTTTGACTCTCGAAGACCAATGTACATGATGTCAGCACCATAACCGACCTCTCTTCATGCACCAGGTACGTATCTTGTTACCCTCAATCAGACCTTGATAATCCCACACTCGCCTCCTTCCCTAAAGACCACCAGATCACCCTGCTCACCCCCTGGCGCCCAGCAGCCCGGCTATGGCTGTTTGTGCCCCGCTGCCCTGCAGCGCCCCACTTCACCTTTGTGCGCCCCGTCAGCGCCCTTGGCCGCAGCGCAGCATCAAGCAGTAGCGCAACAGCACTTCCGCATTGCCTACGCAGGCCAAATGCCTGGCCAGGGCTGCCTCTCTTCCTTTATCGAAGTGGCAGCCTCCTGGATGCTGCGCGTGGCCTGGCTGGAGGCTTCCAGTAGCTTCCGGTTGGGCCTTAGTCCCTGCGCCCAGGCCCGAGCCCACAGTTGAGGACCTGAGCCCTTTACAGTTGGGCACAACCTGTAGTCCTTGGAATTGAGCAGTTTCCTGCATTTGTGCAGGGCCCCGGGGCCCGGGGTAGGTGCGTCGACAGTACTGCTTTTGCATAAGCCTCTGGCCGCTTCACAATGTATCAGCCCTGCTTTGTGTGTATATACCCAGGCTCAACTGCCAAGGCCTGGGCCAACTGTACTACGCAGCTTAGTGAGGCTCACTCGTCCAGTCGACAAACTGGCGAGCTGCAAGAGCCTGAATACCCACATCTGAAAATTTCGAATTTTGTCCTTTGACGAATATTCAGGCCCGCCTTCACTTAGGGCGGGCACTAGGCTTGCTGGGGGCCTTTGCCCAGAACATGTGATGTCTGATAGGGCCCCATGAGGGCTTGTTCCTCGCATTTAGCATGACCCCTACGCAAGGATGACACACATAAATCGAGAAATGGTCGAAAAGGTAAAAAAAAAAAGTAAAACAGATCTGCCTGTGCATGTTAGAAATGAGCCCCTTAGATTCGAAACGGAAACTGAACTTTCTTTCAACAACGCTAGAAATTTTACTTTTGCTGTCGGGACGACGCTGGCTGGAGCTGGGGTGAGTGGCGTTTTCTATTAGGATTCAAACTCAGGATTGTCTGGAGGGCACTGCTAACCAGTCACTGCCCCCACCTCCCTGAGCAACCCTGGACCCGATTTCCAATGCAATCAGACTCGCTATCTTTCACACTTCACATGTGTGCAAACAGGTGCGCAGCAAACTGGCGACAAGCGCCCACTCAAAACTCAGAGATATGGTAGCCGAGAACAAAGTTCAGATACAAGTTCACTTCAATGGCTATGGCGACACAGCGCCCACACAATTCTCTGTTTGCACACACAATTTCACCCTGGATATCCCACACGCGTTACTCTGCACACACAAACATACACACACACACACTGCACGCTATCTACAGATATAGCGGCTATGGCCGCTGCTACCCTATCGCTATGGCTAAGCTCCTTCTCTCTCGCCCACTTCGTCCTCGGGCTCACTGCAGACCACCTCAAACAAGTCGTTGTGGCAGCTCTTCCTCATGGCTCACGCAGGAATGAATGAATGGCTGGACGCTGCCGTTTGATTTATACTTTTGTAGCTCGTTGGTCTGGCCCTTTCCCTTGCCCGTGGTGCACACAGTCCCATGCGGTACTTGCTTGACTGGACTAGGACTGACTGGGACCGATACTGCTGACTACATGGGTTTGCACTGCCAACTCGATGCAGTCGCACTGCCGACGTACTGCAGTTGGGCTCACCACTTGCCCACTTGCCCAGTTGCCTCAACCAAA